CACATGATTTTTTTTACAGCCGCCTTGAATTTAAAAAACAACACAACCGGTAGAATTCATCACTCAGGGTCACACCTTTTCCAGAATAACATCAGTAATGTGTTTGCACGAAACCGCTCTTTACCGATCTCTAACATTAACTTTCTTTTATTGCTCCGTCGTCCTCAGTCTTCTTTCGCTTCCTCCTGTGATGTTGCCTCACACCCCTGAGTTCTGCTTATTCCACCAAGTGTGCGTAGGTGTGTGATATGAGAGAGATAAATGTACATTAGACCCCCAAAAACAAGCTGAGTGTCTTTCACCAGATGTTATCATCCTTGAGTTGATTTCACAACATTAAACTCTATTAACATACAGACGTACTCTGGATCATGATTAATCACACTGAGTTTCTCAAAGTTTCGTTTAAGCCGCACTGGGTGTTTTTTCTCTGCATGCCATGTGAGGCCTTGAATACATATTTAGTGCAGGGGACAAAAGAGATGTGCTTGACGCTGGCCCTACCCCTCCGTTTGTGTCAGTGTGGAATCAGGATGTTGGACTGAGGGGCAGGGCGCCGGGCCTGTTAAATATTGACTGCGAGTGTAATAATTAACCTTCCGCCAACTCCTGATCTCTTAAACTGGCTGCCCTGCCTCGCTGCCATTGCTTCGCTGTCATTGCTGACATTTACATCTAAAAAAAAAGAAACCTCTTTGAGACGCTGGGTCTCTGTGTTTGTGTCGTCTTGGTCCGGCTCGGCTCGGCTCGGCCTGCTGCTGCCTTCCTGCTCTGCTGTGTCGCCTCTCAGCTGCTCTCTCGGTCCTGCCGCCTGTGTCACGGCACTCCTCTGCTCTGCAAACCTTTGGCCTCGCCTGTGAAGTCCACCGGGCCCTAGTGAACGTAAAGGTGAGCATGTTTTTTTATTTTCTTTGAAACCTTTCCTAAGTATTCTGAATGGCACGTCTGTGTGATCAGTGCTGTTTGGATCACTCACTAAACAACACAAATTAGGTGTAATTTTCAAATTAATGCTAATGTTTCTGCGTGAAAAGCAGCGGTTCCGGCCTGATTAGCGTATTTAACACAATAAAAAACCAACCGAGTACGAGCAGAGACGTCCCAAGAGGGCTGCTAATCAGTTAATTGCTTTATTATTCTGTTTTTCTTTTCCCCTGCGCACAGTTTTACTGCGAGGCAAAGTCTACAGAGATGTTAACCTGCAAGCCAAACAAAAAAAAAAAACTTATCACAGGACTTTACAATGACTGGAACGAGTTCAAACTGATAGAAGAGCGATGGAGTACGAAGCCAGTCTTTTAGTAATTATGGGGATGAATGTCAGCAGGAAATGCAGGTACACAGGTCAGACACACCCATATACTCACATACTGAATGACGCCCTCGTGTTGACAACCACCATAAAATCTGTGTTATCTGCACAGGCCTTGGCCCTTTGGCCGTGCAGTTGGAGGAGCGCGAGCAATGATGCCGTTTACTTGGGGCTATAAAAACTGGGAGGAGGAAATTGCCGGGTCAAAGTCGCTCTCCAGAGGAGCCTCCTCTCGTACTAAAGCAGCTGCCTCCGAGTCCAGATCCTGACTTGACCTCTGGGCTTTCTTCTCTCTCTCTCTCAGGCTTTCGTCTCGTCCACCAGACCGCCGCGAGGAAATCTCATCGTAGGTTCGTTCATCGGCGAGCTGCCGTCCGGAGGAGAGTTTGTCATCAGAGCTGGTGCTCGCTGGATGTAACAGCAACTCCATGTGGAAGCTGAGTTTGTTCCAGTGGAGGTGCTGTTACCTGCAGAGATCCACCGACGACACTCGTCTGCCTTTTGTCTTCTGGTTCTTTTATTGATGATGCATTTTGCTGTCCGAGTGCGTGGAGGTTTTCAGTCGGAAGCGGCTGAGGAGCGATGGGGCACGAGGTGATGACCTATGAATTGACAGCCAGTTTTTTCTAACATCTGCCTGTCAGTTCTGTAGGCCACTGCTGCGTTTGTCCCGCTGTACGATGCACACGAGACAGCTCGGCTTTCACACACTTTGTGCGTTCACTGTGATTTCTTGTGAGCTAACTGAATAAAGCTTGAACGTGTAACTCTGTGACTGTGTTGGTCTGTGTTGGAGAGTCGACTCACTTTGACGTTTACAACCTAAAGTCACTAATAAAAGAGAAATAATCAGTCATGAGCAGCAGCACATAAACGAGGACGTTGGGTTAAACATAATGTAACTGCAGGATCATCAAAAGGAAATATGAAGTTAAACTCAAACGTGTCTTGATCTCATGTTGAAGTGAATCTGAGACGTCCTGTAAATGAAACTGGGAGGAGAAGCTGCAGATGAAGCGGCGGTTTTAATCTCATTAAGACAAGTTTACACCCACACTTACTGTAATTCAGTTTCACATGATGACAAGACAATCATAACTATTTAGAGGTAAACTAAAACTGAGCAGGTACAATTTTCCAAATCAACATCGACTTAATGAATTTTTTCGTTATATATCATATGACAATATGTGAGATAATTTGCTCTTAATTGAAATCCAGCCTGCAAACGAACACAACGTTTACAAAATCCTCATTTGTCAGATGACGCTGATTGATAAAAGCTCGTCCAGTGTTCAGTAACTAACTCACCGTCTTTAGTGTTATATTGGACTGAACATTAATTATTAACAAACTGACTCTCATCAGTTCATGTGTTTATATGTGTCGGTGTTCTGCTTTAGTCCCTCGAACACGAGACGAAGGCGTTAGAATTGGCAAAGTCTGAAGGTGCAGTTATTCTGCTATGTCTGATCAATACGCAGAAAATATCTGTTTAGAGAGCGAGAAGGTAAATTTATCTTTAATTCAACCGTCCCCACTGTGCCAGTTCAGAGACACTTTGACTGTTTCCTGCAGTGGATTATGGGATGTAAGTGGCAAAAAGGATCAGCCACAGTGATTCATATGACTAGAAAAACACAAACTACCACAATTTGCTTACTAATTAAACCACAATTTACAAAAACTAAAATGAGAACTTGTAATCCAGCAGATGGAACACCACTGGGATGCAGATACACACAGTTTGCTGTGTTTTGATGTTGTGCATGTTTGAAGTGGGATATGCATGCAGCAGGAAAAACAGTGACAGTGACCTGGAATGACTGTCAGGGGGCCTCGGCAGTGTGGTAGGCAGGTGTTTAAAAACGCTGCCTTTGCTGCCACCTAGCAGCTATCGCACAGTCCAGTTTTAAATCTTCAGTGCAGGACTTGTGTCTCCCCCCTCTGGCGGTGAGGGGATTTTAAATCTGCCTATAGGCAAGACTAAAATTTTGATTTCACTAGACCAAATTAAAATCCTTCTAACATCATAATGAGATTGTAATCCTGCCTGGGTACATTTTAAATCTGCCCAGGCAGAATTTAAATTTTGATTTTGTCAAGACCAAATTGAAATCATCCTTTGAACAAATTGAGATTGTAAACCTGAATAGGTAGATTAAAAATTTGACCCCACCAAATTAAAATCTGAATTAAATCAGAATTATACGATTGATTTCACTTAGATGGGCTGCAAGGTGGTGCAGTTTGTAGCACTGTTGCCACACAGCTAGAAGGTCGCCGGTTTGCGTCCCAGTGAGGACACCAGGATCTTTCTATGTGGAGTCTCCATGTTCTCTCCGTGCAGCGTGGGTTCTCTCCGGGTTCTCCAGCTTCCTCCAAAAACATGTTGAGGTTAATTGGTGATTCTAAATTGTCCGTAGGTGTGAATGTGAGTGTGCTTGGTTGTCTGTCTCTAAGTGTAGCCCTGTGATAGACTGGTTACCTGTCCAGGTGAACCTGCCTTCATGGGATAGACTCCAGCCCCCCATGACCCTAGTGAGGATTAAGGTGTAGAGATGATGGATGGATTTCACCTCGACCCAGTTTGTACCAGTCTTGTGTGACTGTTAAACATGACACCTCCTCATGTGTATTATATGTATTCATGTGGTTATAACATTAAAGAAGGTTCACACCGTGGTGACGTGTGGAGGTTAAGTCAGATTAACACCTGGCAATGTGTCACACCTCAAAGAATCTCTTCATATCTATTTGAATAAAAATGTTGGTTCTGCCTGGGCAGGATTACAATCTCATTATGATGTTAGAAGGATTTTAATGTGGTCTAGGCGCAATCAAAAATTTGGACAGTGACATAAATATCCTGTTTTGATAAATGACTTTTTAATGGTAGATGAAATGAAATTAAATGAACATGAAATGAAAAATACTTTATTTATCCCAGAAGGGAAATTCAATCTTGTAAATGCTCACTTTTTCTTTTTTTTTTTTTTAAATCAATATAACATATATTCTATACAACAACAACAACAATCATTCAGTCAGTCAGATTTGTTTTTTAAGGTGATGGCTGTTGGCAGGAAGGAATTCCTGTATCTCTCCGTTCGACAGCGAAGCTGAAGCAGCCTCCCACTAAACACACTCTGTTGATTCTTCACTGTGTTGTGGAGAGGGTGAGAAGAATCCTCCATCATCTTCATCATCTTGTGCAGCATCCTTTATGTCTTCCTCTCCTATCGTTCTAGATGTCTTTTCAATCACTGCAGTGAAACCATCATTATTATCAGAAACGTTTTTGAAGCCAAGTTCACATGAAAATAACACATGAAACTACAAAAAACTAGCTTCATGAATGAGTAAAGCATAGTTTAATACTGACATATACACAAACAAACCACATGGTGTTCAGCTGGAGTGTTGAGGAGTGATGTGTCTGATGCTCTTTGTAAACTTTATTTAAACTAAACAAAAACTAGTTTAATAAAAAAATATAAATACATGAGCTCTATCAGTGTATTGGATGTACACAGTGAATATTCTGATAATTGTGTGAATATGTGTGTTTTTATCTCCAGGAAAACTACAAATAAGAGAGGAAGTGCTGCTCCCCAGCGGTCCAGTGAGGAGCAGCACTTCCTCCGGGCAGAGAACGCGGTAAAACGGGGTTCCGGTAGCGGCAGCAGCAGCAGCAGCAGCAGCAGCATGGCATCCGACAGCAGCATGGCGACCGTGAACGGCCGGGAGAGCGCGTCCCTGAACGGGGAGCCGGTGGTGAAGCGGCCGCGGGAGAGCGCCGCGCAGGACTCGGCTGTCGCGGTGCCGAAGGAGCCGCACAACAAAGTGACGGTGGTTCTGGGAGCGCAGTGGGGCGACGAGGGCAAGGGGAAAGTTGTGGACCTGCTGGCCATGGATGCCGATATTGTATGCAGGTGCCAGGTACACCACCAATAACTGTTTCTCACCGTGTGTGTGTGTGTGGCTGCTTTGTTTTTTTTTCTTTTAATTTAAAAACCATCTTTGCTAGCAGCGGAGTTTGGAGCGAGTCGGTACCGCTCACGACCGTTAAATATTCATGAGTGACGTCAACAACCTTGTGTGACCTCCCGGATGTGGAGGCGCTACATGGATGCTAGCTGCTGCAGCTAACGTGCTAGTGTCGTGATTTAATGTGATACAAGCCCAAATCTTACTAATGACCCCCAAAACACAGACTAGCAGGACGTGTAGCGTTATGTAAGGTTGTTCCTCTTTTTCTGTGACATTTAGCACCAACAAAAGAAAAGCCATTTTGTGTAGTTGCCGCCTGAAAACAAAGTTCCTGTCATTTGACCCCGTGTTCACAATGAAGGGGTTACACAAGAGCAGCAGGCCCTCAGTGTGTGTGTGTGTTTGTGTGTGTGTTTTCATTTGCCCTCCAGCCTTGTGTCTCATCTCAACTGTTGTGTTTGCAGGGGGGCAACAACGCAGGTCACACGGTGGTGGTGGACTCGGTGGAGTACGACTTCCACCTGCTGCCCAGCGGGGTCCTCAACAAGAAGGCGGTCTCCTTCATCGGTAAGGACTCCATGCTGGACCTGCAGATGGCGGGTTGATAAGGGTCCCAATAAAACAGTAAAACCAGCCGCCGCAGACGGTCTTATCGGGTCTCAGGTGTCATGTTGTTGTCGAAGATGTCGCCCAGTTCAGTGACCCGGTTTAGGGAGGTGTACCTGACAGAGTCCACATGGAACCAGGGGTCACCATAGGCCAACATCTGTCCGCTGAAGCCTGCTGGATCCAGTCAGTGCTGTTTGTCTGGCAGAACCATTTCTTTACTCGATTGAGTCCAGACAGATGCACCACACAGTAGGTCAGACCAACCAGAAAGTGTGATTTTTACGCTGATTTTGTGGCAATTCAAGGATTTTGCATTTTTTAAATAACTTTTTTTATTGAGTTTTTGTTTTATTCTAACAACAAACAACGTCCTCATCACAGACAGCCATACAACCCATCAAACAGAGGAAAAAGGGGACATAAATAATATAAAAAACCAAAAATATGATGCATTATTGTCTTTGAAAAGTGTTAAACCCGCTGTGTTTGCACATGTTTTTCTTCTCTGATGATTTGGGTTTAGTTAAATCTCATGCACGGACTCTTAAAGACGGCAGGGATGAAGACAAACTGCTGCAACACCGTCCCAAAACAAACTACTGATGGACACAGTGTTAAGTCTCAGCTTGAGTCTTTATCTGTGCTTATCCCAGTAATAAAAATGATAATTATCCTAATAGCTCTATCAACAATTATACAAGCATAACTTGATTTAATCTGTTCAGGGCTGCTCGTTACGCTGCATGTTAGTTCTCATGTACCTTCACATGGCCGTCTCTCCAGCATAAGTAAATAGTAAGAATGAGTCACCAAAAAAAATGAGTATTTTGCTGGAAAAACAAACAGCTGTCCGGACACTGTGCCCCTCCGTGTGAGTAATGGTGTCCTCTTGGCCTCCTTTGTAAACGTCTGCCATTGATAGGATGTTCTGAGAACAAAAGATTTACTCAACATCTGTTCATTGTGGTACCTGTTTAGATCCTGTTTATTCCTCACATCCTTTAGCTATTCTTTCCAGCGCTATAAGAGCTGGAAAGAGGAAACGCTTAAATGTTCTATAAATAAAAGTTTGCAGTTTGTTGCACATAGGGAAAACATTATGTGGTGCTGCACGAAGGGATTTCCTCTAACTTCCTCTCGCATTACAGGCAACGGAGTGGTGATCCACCTGCCAGGTCTGTTTGAGGAGGCTGAGAAAAACCTGCGTAAAGGCAAAGGTAAAGTGCTGCAGTAGTCACACATACATACATGTGATAGAAGAGGAAGGCCCAGAAAGATTAAAACAGGAAAGAGGTGCAGTCAGGAAGTTCTGAGACTGCGTTTTTAAAAAGCAAAAAACACACCTGATTTAAATGTAGCTGCTATTTCCGTCTTTGCATCCTTCTTATGCAGCGATACGCAGCTTTCAATGCTCCTGCCGTGTTTGAAAGGAAAGGAAGTCCTGTTCTGATCACCTGGAGGTGCATGTTTGCCATTTCACCGTAGACCTCAAACTTAAACCTTGTCCACACGTAGCAGGGTTTATGTCCTGCCCCCTCCGTCTAGAAAAAAACTAACGTACATGCTACCTCGTTTTTAGGAAATAATTCATCCACACCTAACCGCACATTCATATTCTACATGAGGATGTAAGAACTCCGACGACCGGGACGTACAGAAATCGTCGCACCGTTCCTCCAGGAGCACGATTTCCGTCTCAAAGTTCTCCCACCAGCTTGCAGTGGTCTGACCCAAATCCAGCGTCGTCGTCTCTGACGGAGAACATGCCTCGGACGTGGAATGGCAAGGTTGCGGAAAATAACCATCCTTAACGCCGTCCTTTGCCTGAGTTCTTGAAGCGGTATCTGGGCCTGGACCAGAGACAACACGGTTCTGAGGGCGTCCACGCTTTTCCAAATGTAAACACAGGTCGCATATGTGATGTAAAGAACATATTTTGTTGCAGGTAGAGACGCTTTGAAACCTAAAACCCGGTTACTGACGTCCACATGCAGACACATAAACGGAGGATTCACAGATCTTCACTTTGAAAGAATCGTTTTTGAAGCCATGAATCTGCGTTTTCATGTGGATGACAGGACACATCGTAGAAACATATCTTTGTTTTGTGAGACACCCTGCTACGTGTGGACGAGGTCTAAACAAAATCTGATGTCAAACTGATCCGACCTACAGGTTGAGGATCACCACCGGAGTGAGAGAGTTGGTTCTCCGACCCAGAGACCAAACAGCTGCACTCTGAAGGAGGCTCATTGGGTCAGCAGCGTGGCCAAGACCTTCCTTATCGTTCTGATCGACATTCACAGGGTTGTGAATTCGTCCCCAAAAGACAAACTGTCAGCACAGTTCTACTATAGCAACCTGAGCTGTCTGAGGGGAAAACATTTGGCTGATGTGTCCCATCATGCCAAGGTGTTGGCATGACGGGACACATCACAGCGTGTTGAAACCCCTCAAGTTTTTTGGCTGCACTGACAAAGTCATCGCCCTTCACCCGCTCTGCTCACTAGATTTGGCTCCTAGACACAACTCATGCTCCCCCAGAATGAAATTCAAGTTGAAGAGTCTCTGTTTTGACACATTGAGGAGATCCAGCATGCACTGCAGATGGTGTTTGATAAACTTAGAGAGGAAGACGTGCAGGAAGCGATCCAAAAGTGCTGCAACGTAGAAGGTCAAATATCAGCTGAGTAGAGTTTTTGCTTTTTTTTCTTTTAAGCAGAGACTTGGAACTTCTTGATTGCACCTCGTAGATGATGCACAGATGTTCACTGTATTCCTACAGATTTTGTGCTTTTGTATTTGTGGCAGGATTACAAGGATGGGAGGAAAGATTACACATCTCTGATCGGGCCCACATCGGTGAGTAGGAATTTCCTCCCCCAAGTTTTTTCTAAAATGACGTGCCTCTTTATTGACGGTCCCCTCAATCCACCCAGTGTTCAACTTCCATCAGGCTGTTGATGGAATCCAGGAGCAGCAGCGGCAGCAGCAGGAAGGGAAAAAGTAAATCTTCTAATTAGTTTGTACGATGTATGTGTAGTTTAACAATGTTCAAGAGCGCAAGTGTTTTATTTAATAGTTAATTTTAATCATAAAGTGGTTCTAAATGTTGTGTTTTTATTTGTGCTCCAGTTTGGGAACTACCAAGAAGGGCATCGGTCCGGCCTACTCCTCCAAAGCTGCTCGAAACGGTCTGCGGGTCTGTGACCTGGTCTCAGATTTCAAGGTTTTTGAGGACAAGTAAGCATGTTTTTATTCCCCATATCGGTGGTCTACCAGATGATAATCAGTCTGCGGTCCCAGGATCTGTTGCTGCTGTCTGTTCCTAAGGCTACAACCGAACAGGGAAAGAAAGCTTTTAACTTGGCTGCTCCTTCTACCTGAGAAAAAGACCTGAAACTTCAAGAGCTGGTCTCTTTAAATACTTTTAAAGTGTTCCTGAATGACTTGGAGGCAGAAACATCAGCCTGTAGATGTTAGTTATGTTGCTGATCTCTACTGATATGTTGATTTCTTATCTTCAATATATAATCATCAGGTATTATGAGTATGATGTCTGTGTGGATGCTGCTGTGACCTTGTCTGTCTGTCAGTTGAAAAAGAGATTGTTAATCTCAATTAGCATTTTCCTGGTTAAATAAAAATGAAATGATGTATGATGGGCGGCTGATGTGACCTCATATCAACATTTTAAGCAACTGTGAGTCTTTGCAGCTGTTTAACATCACACTGTCTTCATTTTAGTTGTGCCATTCTGTCATAAGCAGCTCTTTGAAAGGATGTTTCCTTCCCTAAATGTGATAAAATAACTTCTCATGACACTAGAATGAGTTCAGGAGAACAATAAAAGCACATTTAAATAGATTTTAGACAAACCTGGTTTCTACATTTGTGTTAGGACCTTCATGGACAATCACAATGAATTGATTTATTTTGAAGCGTCTGTATGTTCTACTGCCAGCAGGTGGCAGCACACACCTGAAAACTGCTCTCATGGAGGCCTTGTGTGATAATCTGTCTGTCCTGTATATTACACTGTGAAGTTAATATATGTGGAGGTGTATTTGCGTACATATTCGCTGCATGTAAACAAACTCTCTGCTCTCTTGGTGTTCTGTAGGTTTCGCATGCTGGCGGAACATTTCCTGACCATGTATCCGAACCTTAACGTCGACATCGACAGCGAACTGGAGCAGCTGAAAGTGAGTCCAGCTGATCGCATCGAGCCTTTTCAACTGTATTATTTGACTAATTGTTCCTGGAGTTGCTGCCTCAGGCCATTTCCACAGCAGACATTTAGAATTATCACAGCAGGAAAAAGCACACATGGAGCAACAACAATGGCTGTGTCGCATTATGTAGCTCAGAAAGCCTCTCCAGTGAGCCAGTACAACACCTAAACCCTGGACCGTGCTCACCTTAATGGAACACAGCAGGGCTCCACACTACGGCTGGTTTTCCAGAGTGTGTGGTCGCGTTTGTGCAAGTGTATGATGATCATAAGGTTCTTTCTGTTGCCCCTTTGGCTGTTAAAAAAGAAGAAAAGTAGTGTTTTCCTTCTTCTCTGGCTTCGTCTCACTACCTACACTCTAGATGAAGCAGAGCAGATTATTTTAAAAACAGGAGAGAGCGAGGGGAAGACGGTGGTGAAGAGGGAGAACCAACAAGAGGTCAAGTTGTCATCGATCAAGTTCAACGCTGAATGTGAATCCAGCTTATAACGGCATCGCCTCGGTTCATGTTATAGTGATGACGTCAGACAAGCTCTGGGAGAAGAGTGGTGGCAAAACGAAGATATCAGAGTAAAATAGTTGCTAAAATCAAGTCTGGATTTATCACTGCAAAACAAAGTTAAGACATAAACATTCATCTGCGTGTAGAGTACCATGCTGTCCCAGAGAAACCAAGAAAATTTGATGTGGAGCTCCATACAGACCACTGATTTGATCAATTATGCGTATGATTTCCTGTTTTAGCCTTTAAAATATCTGCTGTATAAAAACAAAACAAAGAAAACCCTGCTAATAATCTGTGTACATGTGTGCTGTATCTGAAGAAACTGATTATTTGCGGTGCTGCTAGTTTCCAAATGTATGACTGCAATGGAACTTTTAAGACATAATTTATTTTAAATCTGAGCTTTCAAGTCGATTACATACCAGCGTGGGTGACTGATGAAGTTATATATATATGTAAGTGGTATTTATTGGGGCGGCTGTGGCTCAGGTGGTGGAGCGGGTTGTCCTCCAGTCGCAAGGTTGGTGGTTCGATCCCCGCCCCTCCACAGTCAAAGTGTCCTTGGGCAAGACACTGAACCTGAAGTTGCTCCTAATGGCAGGCAGCACCTTGCATGGCAGCTCTGTCGCCATTGGTGTATGAATGTGTGAATGAGAAACACAATGAAAAGAGCTATTTAAGCGCAGACCATTTACCATTTATTGTTCAACAGTTTTCATTTTTCCTTCACTAGTCTTTCTCTCACACTTTATTTTTACACGAACTTAATCCGATTTTGTCTCTGTGACCGTTTTGCCAGACGTACGCTGAGCGGCTGCGTCCTCTGGTGACTGACGGCGTGTACTTCATGCACAAAGCTCTGACTGGACCCAGCAAGAAAATCCTGGTGGAAGGAGCCAACGCTGCTCTCCTGGACATCGACTTCGGTGAGTAACAACCAGTGCAACCGACTCAGAAGACGGATCGATGTATTTCGCTGCCTCGTGCTAACGGATGTTCCTCCGTTCAGGGACCTATCCTTTCGTGACGTCCTCCAACTGCACCGTGGGAGGCGTGTGCACCGGTCTTGGCGTGCCTCCATCTTACGTCGGCCGGGTGTACGGCGTCGTCAAAGCGTACACCACCCGGGTGGGCGTCGGCGCTTTCCCAACAGAGCAGGACAACGTGAGTGGAAAGCTGCATTTGTAGCAAGGCTTTTTTTTTTGTTTGTTTCACATCCTGCTAATTAGAGATAAATGTTGACGCGCTGAAGGATTGTCGATGTTGCGGTCAAAGGATCAGATTCATCACGCTGGTTCACAGGCGCTCGGCAGCAGCAGCTGTTTAAAAGCACCTGTCGTTACTGTTCAGAAAAGCCTGATAAACACAACACACGATCAGGAAGTTCCCACGTTCAGGCTGCTATCAGTAAACCGTCTTACTGCAGCTGAGCGTCCTCCCCCCTACCTGCACTGACATCATCGGTCGGTCAGGTTCTGCGGTCAGCTGCAGTCTTTAGGTTGAAGAGGTGGATTTGTGGCCAAACAGGTCAGAGCTCTCAGATTGCTTGAGAAGGTAAAGCCACCGATCTGAGCAGCTCAACAGTGGAGGAGTGTGGCTCCCACTGGGTCTTACTGGAAACGTGCATTTTCTTCAGCTTCCTGCATAAATGAAAAAAAACAAAAACAGGCCGAATCAGCAAGATTGTTGTTAGCAGTAATTAAATAAACCAGCTGCCTTCATTTCCCTCTTTGTTCTTTGCTGACATTGTGTGTTTCTGGTTTGCAGGACATCGGGGAGCAGCTACAGTCTAAAGGGAGAGAGTTCGGCGTGACGACGGGCAGGAAGCGGCGTTGTGGTTGGCTGGACCTGATCCTGGTCAGATACGCCCACATGGTCAATGGCTTCTCTGCGTGAGTGACCACCGAGCACGTTCAGAATATTATCCTCATTTACTGTTTTTTTTTTGGCTTCATCATGCACTCTGCTGTCGTTAGAGCTGATCATAGTGACGCTTTCTGTTTGCAGAATCGCGTTGACGAAGCTGGACATCCTGGACACACTGCCTGAGATTAAAGTGGGCGTGGCCTACAAATTTGACGGAAACGCTCTACCAAGTTTTCCAGGTATGTTATTCCCACCTAAAGCCTTCGTGTGAGTCTATCTGTGGTTTTAAGGTGATGTCTTGTTGTGACTGACCACTACAGCTAATGTCTTTATGCTAATGTCAGCTTTTTCTAGCAGAAAATGCAAGATCTTGGGTTTTTTCAAAATCTATTTTGCAGCACATCTGAAGGCGCATTTGTCTTCTTTTATCTGTTTATAGTGCCAAATGAAGCAAATTGAATTGTTAAGCTAATGAACCAGAGGGTGATAAACCGTCTTCCCTCTCCTCTGATTAATATGACTCTGCAGCTCCACCCAAACACCATGTCTACACTCAGCTTTCTTTCATGTGTTCTTGTAGTTAGTGTGCAGGATGTTTTGATAACGGCTGGTTTTCTGGTTTGTTTCTCTAAGTTCCTTCTGCTACAGTCTCGCTTTGTATTCTGTATTTCTTATATTTATATGCACATTTTTCTGTTTCGTATGTGTGTATCTCTGTGTTTAATGCTGCTAACAACAACGTGAATTTCTCCACTGTGAGATAAATAAAGGCATTTCTTATCTTATCTTATCTTATCTTATTCATTCTTCTCACAACCTGTCTTCTGCTCCTGCAGCAAACATGGATGTCTTGACGCGGGTTTCGGTGGATTACAAAACGTTTCCCGGCTGGTGCTGCAGCACCGAGGCAGCTCGGAGCTTCGAGGAGCTGCCGTCACAGGCACAGAACTACATTCGGTTCATCGAGGACTTCCTGCAAGTGCCAGGTTTGTAAAGAGACACTTTATATTAATGGACAAACTGCAGCCAAGCTGCCCTTCGCTTTGCCAAACCTGCCAGTCACATCCTGTCTTTGTTTTTTTCCCTTATTCCAGTGAAGTGGGTGGGAGTCGGCAAGTCCAGAGAAAGCATGATCAAACTGTTTTGATCCGTCTGCAGCGGCCACATCCTCGGCGTCGGTTGGGATTGTAACTTCAGGTTTTCAGAGGGGGTTTAAAATATAAACTCTGTCCTAAAGGAAATACTTCACCAGCAAGGCTACTACTTGTGAAACCTTTAGTTGCTGCTTGTGCTTCACATTTACAATGATTCCTCACAGACATAATTTATGCATTCCACATATTGTTTTCTATATTTATTAGGGTGTTAATTTTCCAAACCTGGTGCACATGACTCGATCGCTCTTTAGTCCATTCCATAGTAATGCAGCTTATTTTTTAGCATTTGGGACTCATTTACCTAAATTAACATCTGTTCACCACGCAGTTGCTTTTTTCTTCTACATGTGTGTGAAGAGCCGCTGATGAACAGATGTAGGAGCCTTGGTGTGAAGAGGACGTCACAGTTAAACAGATTATTTTTGGGGCTTTGCGGTGCGATGGGAAAAATGATCGAAAGCCATCATGCGGTCACTCTGATTGCAAACTTTTCTATTGAACAATTTTAAACCACTTTAAAAATGCATCTCAGTTGTTACATTTGTAAAAAAACAAAAAACAGTATTTTCATGATGATTGTTGGAATGAACGTAGTGCTTTAAAATGATAAAGGATAAATTAGTGCAAAGCAACTTGAGTGGAAAAAGATGTTCGGACATCCACACAGACGTTGGTGGAAGGTTTTGTGTAAATGTATAAAAACCAGTGGGCAGTAGTGTACAGAGTACATCTCAACGTGTTTCCTACATCATGACATTCATCATGCAATAATGTAAAAGACTCTTAGTCAGCTTGCTGTTGTCAATAAACGAAACCATAATGTTACACGTTTCATTTAATTCTGTCATTTTAAGCCACTAATTAGTTTTTTTTTGAGAAGGTCATTTATCTGTTCTCACAGCTTTTAACATAAAATCCAACATCTGAGGAACGTTCCGTGTGCTGCTCCTCACCAACACAAAAATCGTTTTCCTCCGGAACCTTCGCACGTCTTTCAGCCGGCAGTCGGCCTGTAATAGCCTTCTTTCTTTCTTTCAATCTTTCTTACTTTGCACCCTCCTTAGTTAGTTGACTTCCTCTCACCGTTTAAAAGCTTTTCAGGACCTGGAGGGATTAGATTAAAGTGTAAAGTGGATTCCTTTGCAAATCGATAGGAGGCGTAACGATGTGCTGGGGCTTCCCAGATATTCAGAGCCTATGTAATGCGTTAAAAGTCTTGTACACCCGCACAGGTGTTTCCAGACACTCTGCTCAGTTTGATGGCCTAATGAGAAACAACAGTGGTGGTCTAGTAAGTTGCACATGTACCAAAACTATTAGGACAGTTGGGGATACAAAAACAAATTTCAGGTTTCTGTCCAATAGTTGTGGTTTTCATTATGCAAGTTAGGTTTGTGAAAAGCAAAAAACATGTCAGACAGTCCAGTCCATTAGCTTTAGCCACTTTTATCTTTCATAGGGTTGCAGGGAGGCTGTCTCGGCTAAAACACTGGGCGACAACATTTCATGCAAAACCCAACTGTCCACCGTTCAAGTACCAGGAAATGTTCAGACACTATAAAAACTACAAACTGTACGCATTCCAGAAAAAGTGCCACAGGTTTCCCACAAAGTTCGCCTGATGTCGACCGCAAATCTATTTGACGTGTCGAAATCTGACCTTGGTACAAATTTGGTGCAACATTACCAAAGGAAATGGAGTCGTGTCTGCCAGACTCCACCACTGCCATAAAGGATATCTATGGCAAATATAAACTGACATGTTTGCTGCTGATGGCAAACTTGTTACCAGAAGGCTACTAGAAGATGTGACGACAAACCACCTATTACCATGCCAGTAGTGACAAACTTCCCATTATCGCCAGAATGTTCCTGAAAGTTGGCCACTAGTGGATATCTGTGACTTCATTTTCTGCTTTCTTTACTTGAAGCTGTTTAGACCTGCCCATTTTATAAACACTGAAAGTACTTAATTAAAACTGTTAGCTTGTGTCTGTAGCCATGGCTCAGTTCATACCTATGCTATGCTTTTTTGCTAACTAGAAGATGTTAGCATGCTAACACATTAGGATGGTAAACCGGCTATACAGTGGCTTGTTAGCACTGAGCAGCTAAACATTAGCATGTTGATGTTAAAATGATCAGTGATGTAAACATTTTTTTTTTTTTTTTTTTTAGAGTTGTCCTACTTAGCAAGCTACCACCAGCATGCTAATGTTTGCGTTTAGCTCAAAGCACTACAGTGTAATAACTAGCTTGCTGTAGGTCCTGTAGCTCAGTTTAAGTTACAGCCTCCTTTCAAGTCAAGCTGTAAATAACCATCTTATTATTATTACATTATACTTAATAGATAACACTTTATCATTGAGTTGCGGGGAAGTTGGTTTTAAGCCTCCAAGTGCTTCAGTAAAAGGCAGCCGGACTTCTCTGTTTGGTTCTTGAAGACATTTCTCACTCAGGAGGCTTCTTCAGCCCTGACTGAGGGGATTCCCAGGTCAACCCAAAGAAAGACATGACTCACAGCACGATAACAACCAAAGACTTCATGCTTCAAAGTGTGACCGGTTGTAAAGCGGCCTGGTGATGAATGACTCGCTGGGTTAATGATGGTGAGACTGTCTGGGGAAGGATGTCAGGACTTGTTTCAAGTACCTGATAAGTCCTGTTGTTGACCCCTCTCCTCTGTTTAAGGCTGTTTCTGCTTCTATCACTCCTCTCTCAAACCATCTGTCCACAATGTGTGAACAGATGCAGGTGAACAGCTGAGTCCTGTCCTGAGGAGATGCTCTCTTCCCCCTTTACCACCGAGTTGGTACCAGTGCCAGTTGGTAGCCAGAGCCTGACTGAGAACCAGTTCTTTGTGTTTTAGGTTGTGTCTCCAGGTTCTCAAAACCGGTACTTAGCAAGCACCAACTCTTTGCTGGGCCAGAGCTAAGAACCGAGTACGTCTAGGGGTGGGGTTATCGTCACCAACGACACCAGTGGAAACACAGAATGGGACCCACAAGCGGTAATTTGTGCTGTTTTTCACCAGGACGTCCCTGGTTTGATCGCAGATGTATTGGATTGAGTCCTGGGACACACGGAAGTTCTGCACAAAGTGTTGCGCGCTGAAATCCAGTACATTGGGGTCCCACCAGTAGCACCACAGTGGTGGAAAATGGGACTTTTATAACTTGGGTGTAATGGGGTTAGAAATGTGGTCTATTCCGGTCATGGAAAAGACAGCCCAAGAAAAAATCCCTCAAATCTGACATTAGAACGCCCTAGTTTTCTCTTTTTAAAGCCATTTTTGGTCGACACCGGTCTGAGCACTGCAGCCACCAACAGCAGCTACCGCAGTCTGCAATGTGGGGCGTTCGGGGAACATCGGTAAAGTGTAGTTATCAATAAGAAAATGTTCAGCAAGTCATATGTTTTGCCTTTGACAAGGTGGGAAGTGCGACCAAATGAAAACGTTGGTCGCACCAGTAAGAAAAAACTTAGTCTGGAGTCCTGTGTGGACTTCCTTATGGTGCGAGTGTTCGGTAAACGGCTACGTATGCAGTGACGTGTGACGTGGCTCTAACTTGGCTCCAATGGAAAAGCAAACAGGTTCTTAGGAGGTGTGAGATTTGAACCAATGAAGCACTGGAACTAGCACCTGGTTCTTCTTGGTGGAAAAGGGGTATCTGTGTTGGTTCATGCATTTGTGGAGCAGTCGTTTAGTCTCTTCTGTACATACGTCTGTGCAATCCTCGCTGTGTTGGACTGTATGCAACAGCTTGTGTTTGGGTGTTTCATTATTGGGGAGATTCAGTTTATGTCTCAGAAGGTTGTTGGCTCTGAAATCCTTCTCCCAGACAGACCAGCTACGTATGGGATTGATCTAATGTGCTTGTAGATTACTAAGACCATCGCTAACTAGGACTTCACATCAAGCAAACCAAAATACTTTGAAAACTTCTGTTTGTTTTTTGTTGTTTGTTTTGTGCGTGCTGTCGTCCTACAAAATTAACATCGCGTCTGTTTGTGATGTTGGAGAGTGCATCGTCCATTAAATGACCAAAGTTGCAGACGTTTGCTAACCAGTCGATTTCCAGTCCAAGAAGTCCCTGCATCATCAGAAATGGCACAAAGTGAGCTTACAGTAGATGCACGAGGGCTTAATTGAAAATAAAGTGCTCATAATAGCGGCGTGGTCCTTCCACCCCCCCTTCACTGTCTGACGGCCCCCGTCCCTCCCTCTCTTATTTACTACGACCTTCCCTTTGCTTGTAATTGTGAGCACATTTGTGATCAGGTCAATCAATCTGAGCGTAGATTCTTCTCAGATGTTTGCACCTGGTTAAATCAACCTCTTCCCGCCACTGGTTGGACGTTAATTTGTTAAGAGACACGTGGAATTACAACTGAGATCAACAAGAAGTAAGTTTTTCTGCTTTTTCTTTGCATGAATGACTCTTTGTGGGACTTTATTTCAGGGCTGTGATGAGAAAGAAATCATAATTATGTAAAAAAAGTGCTGGTTAAAATAACATTTCTTTTGCCCTTTCAGTGGCAGCTATGGACTGATGTTACTCCAGAGACTCAGAAAAGCTTTTCTGACTATGATTTATGCAGCAGGAGGGTAACATTTTGCGGGAGCAGCGCAATAAGGTTCTCCCACCCCCTGGTTATTCGCTTTCTGTTTGAATGCTGCATTTATTTCTCCTCACGATAAATAATCATCACTTTCCCCCCGCTGTGAGCCTTCCTCATGGCGTCATGATTTATGCAGCCGGAGTAATAAGACACCTGTTTCACTGCAGTTGGACTGTGTTCAGTTTTCATAGGAACGGAGAGACAGGAGCTCTCACGCAGATTGAATTGAGGGAGCTAAATGTGTTTAACAGTTTATTTGGTGAGTGCATGAAATAAATCAGATTCCTGCTGCTCGGCGAGGCCAGCGTGAGGTATTTGCAGGGGGGAAAAAAAAAATGGAGAAAGATGTGTCATCTCATTTTACATGCGCTCGTTTGACAAATGCATCTGAATACATTGCAGAATAATGGACTCGTTGCTTTTAGTCTATGATACACGCAGTTGTCTGTCTGTCGTTTGTTACTTAAGCTCATAACTCATTGTCCGTCTCACTCTACGGTTAATCACACAGCTGTTCGGTAATTCATCTATTATTACGCTAAGCATTGTGTATCAAACGTGCTGTCAGTTTGAAAAGAAATGTCAACTATTTTTGTGTCCTGGTTATTTTTCACGGGATCATAAATTTGTGTTTCGTGCAAAAAAGAAAAAAAAACTATCTCTTTAATTAGAAGATTTATTGTTGCTTGAATTCGGTCCATGAATCATGCATGAACTTATTAACTCGATCTGAAAACAAAGATAGTTAACAACTGTGCTTTTGTACATAATTATACATGTAATTATAGAATCTGCTGCAGTCTGTGTTCGCTGTTGTGGCAGAAAAATCAGAAAACACAAGTTTATATGTCGGACTTTGTGGTGATGATGGCGCCTCCTCATTCTGCATCAATCCATCAAAATGCTCTGTGCAGAGGGAGAACTTGCTTTAGTTCAGTCAATTAAATTATTTTAAACCAGATTTGGAGAAAAGAGATGGAGCGAATTTTTTTTTTTCCAAATATAAATCAAAACTTTTGCTAATTTAGGGGCCTTGAAGCTGCCACAGTGCAGAACGAGGCCCCCTTTGCCCTCCAGACATGAGGCCAATGTCAAGCCTTTCTAAACAGCTTGAGGTTCGCTCAGAGGACTTTGTTCAGTATGTGTGATGTAGGTTGTTGTCTACATATTCTACGTCTGCAAAGTAGTCGTAGTGCTGACCT